GTTATTAAATATCGGTAACAAAATAAATTCATTGAGTATAGAGAAAACTGACAAATTCCAAATTAAGCGCAAAATACGTAATACTTAAGGTACTGTAAGTCAGCATGTTGTCGCAAACCCCTGGTCTCACTATTGGTGAGAGCGAGAATTCCCACAAACTGTGACATGAAGCAGCCCTTCCTGCTCACTAGTCACTGTAATAACTAATGCAATGTGATGTACGAGTGAATTAGTACAGACTGCGCAGCAGATATTTCACCACAGAAATGTTCCAACGTGATCTGCATGCAGAGTTAACAAGTAAGTTCGGCAAAACCGTGTTGAAGTCGACATCATTATTTCTATTGGATTAGAAGAGATGTATTGACAAGCCTGCTTGTTTACAGTGCAATAGAGCCACTTCACCTCACTGGAGGTTTTGTTGCCTTGTTCTGAATCACAGAACATGGCGCTGCACATACAGTAACTGGAAATTTAGTCTATTTTGTGATGGAAATTGGAGATTTTTTACATTACTGTGTACATTTGACTTTCATTGTGGTTTGAAATGCACTCATCAATGCCGATTCTTTCTAACCCCGAAATATAAAAATAGAATTGCAGGCCCCCTTTAACAGTTCTATTGGATGTCAGGTTAATAGAGAAAGGTAAATTGTGTAAACTCAGTGCAGTCAGTGATGTATATTTATGTCCCCTCATTCCTTCAGTTTTGGTCAGTTTTTCTTTCAATATAAAAATTATTGCTCCAGGAGAATGACAGATTTAATGCTGTATGATTTATTAAGAGGGCAGTGAAACAATTACACATTCCGAGGAAATGTATTAGCTCCAGCTTTTTGAGTTTTCATTTTAGAACTGTTTTCTCACTGGCATGTTTCTTGGCCCATCATTTTTTTGCATTCAGCTCCCCCATTCATCATTTGCGAGATATGTCCGGGCGCTGTTTAGGGACTGTGAAGAGACGTGCCGTCTCCCCCTGAAAAAGGAGGTTGTGATTCCATAAGGTGACAACAGGGGGCAGAGTTGCGCGTTCTGGTCTGAGTGTCTGACTGTGCCTCTCTTTCCAGGATAGGACGTCCCCCCAAGTACAGGAAGAGCCAACAAAGAGCTTACCAAAGTGAGTGACGCCATAGCCATCATACTCATAAAAAATACTCCGTCTAAATGCTTTATGAAGCATATTGAACATATTAAATATCAAATACGATATGATTATATAAGACATGTTTGCTACATGTAAATGGTGCTCCATCTTTACACTGCTTGTTTATGTGGCAGTAGCCCATGATGTAACAGTGTAGCAGCAGCTACATAACAGAATAAGGCCTAGATAACAGAAACATTATTTCTAATGGATTAGAAGAGATGTATTAACTGTAAGAATGAACTCAAGACCAGGGCTGCTCAACCTCTGACGCTTATGGTGTCAACAGGGGGATTGAACAACCCAAAAGATCAGATGACTTTATTGGCCATATACAATTTCTTGCATTCGGAATTTGTCTTTTCACAAACCCCAGCTTGCACTCCATGAGACACACAGACAGGAAGAGAAGCCTGGGGTCAGAGCACAGGGTCAGACATTTATACAGTGCCCCTGGAGCAGTCCGGGTTCAGGGCCTTGCTCAGGGGCCCAACAGAGTAGGATTCCTCTGCTGGCTGCAGGATACGAACCGGCAACCTTCCAGCCACAGAGCCACCACTCCACCCGAGATAAGACTGATTGCCACAATGTTTCCTTCTAAATTTTCTGGTTCCAGGTTCTCCTCCATCTTCTTCTTCTACCAAATGCCAATCCGCGGTTTCCACCATACACTAAATCCAACAGCATATCCTAAACCGCAGTCCGAATTTTTGATCTCCGTTTCCAGTCCATTATTCCTAAATCCAATCCGTTCAAACTCTTCTGTATTACCGCTACGTCCTCCTAGTCGCATCCACCCCACTGGCTCCCACGCCGCTGAGTTCTTCCGGGTCACTTTTATATTGTTTCCTGATGAGATTTGCCTGTTTCCCATGTGGTTGAATGGGGTGCTTCCGTTGATAAGTCAGCTGACTTTTCCTCGTGGCTCTTACTTGGGTCCATTTCAAGTATTTTAAGAGTGGCATTTCTAAAACATCTGCCGTTGATGACCCTCCCGCGGGTGACCTTGTGATTGTGATTGATTGTGAAGCATCTGCGTCCTTAGCTATGGGCTTGGTAACCAGTAGGACAGCAGTGCAGGTACTGGTTGAGCCAGAAGGCTAGGCAGGTTGGACTGGAAGGGAGTGTGGTCAGCGAACCCTGTCGTGGAACCCAGTGTTCTGCTCAGAAATGAGGAGGCAACAGAGGAAGGTCAAGCTGGGGTCTAACACCTTCCTGGCTCCAGCGTGAGATGTCAGCCGCAGGGATTCTCTTGCACGGTTTCATATGCCTCAAAGCCAGTTGAGAAAGTGAGCCCAGTCTTCCTGCCAGCAGGGGGCGAGAGGGTGTGCTGGCTCGGGCAGCCTGACGTGTGCCGTGCGCTCTCGTGTGTTGCAGGCATGTCGTCGGAAGGCGTGCACCCCTCCCTCTTCATGTCGGCGCTGTCGGCCCACCCTGACCGGGCCCTGTCTCTCTGCTGGGAGCAGCACTGCAAGCTGCTGCCAGGGGTGGCGGGCATCCATGCCAGCAAAGTGGCCACCTGGACTGTGGAGGAGGTGAGGAGGAGGGCAGGACACAGACTTGGAAAGGCCCTGGAAAACTGTTCCAAAGGGGGATAGAAAGAACTGGAGCACGCTGGTTGTATCAAATAGCTACGCAGTTATAATATCCGATAATTCTACCAACGAGAGGAGGATTGGGATGAGGATTAGATGACTTTTGGGGTTTGTGGCCAGGCTGTACAAATATCTAGGACATGTAGGATCCTTATGATTATCCTTAAGGATATACAGTGGATCTAAAAAGTCTGCACACCCTTATTGAAATTGCAGGTTTTTGTGATGTAAAGTTAGAAATCAAGATAAATCATGTCAAACATGTTCCCATCTTTAATGTGGCCTTGCCACCAACAACATTCAAGAGAAAAACAAATAGATAATTATTAGGAAAAATAATTGAAATTAAAAAACCTATAATGGCATATATTATTGTATGTCTCTTCTGTGATTTCAAAACAGGTGTTCAGTTTCGTCCAGAATCTCACTGGCTGTGAGGATCAAGCCCGGCTCTTCAAAGATGAGGTGAGATATGTTGGCAGACTCCCCTGATCAAGGAGACATGATTACATCACCGATTCTGTATCCCAGTTCTCTGACACAGGGATGATTGGAAAACAAAGATGCTTTTGGATCTCTTCCTAAAATGACATTCTCTGGCTTGCACTCCAAGTCATTTTGCAGAGACTGATTGATTTTCATACTTAGAGGTATAAATCATTTAAAACTGAGCTTCGGAATGTCAAAATAACACTGGAGAACAGAATCTTAATAAGCTGAATCTTTGATTTGCAGTGGTAGCTCCTCTTTGAAATGTGTCCAATATTTATCATAAGCATAGCAGCCTCTGAGCAGCTGAGCCATTGTGTTTCTCCAGATGATTGATGGAGAAGCCTTCCTCCTGCTGACCCAAACAGACATCGTGAAGATCATGAGCATCAAACTTGGCCCGGCACTCAAGATCTACAATGCCATCCTGATGTTCAAGAGCACCGATGACGGGCTCAAGTGATGCCAGCCAGACCTGCGACAGAGCCAGTATGGTCACTGGCTACTGCATATGTGCCAATCCACCAAAAACAATTCCTCCATGTGTCTGATGCGCACCTGTCAGTGAGCGGCAGGGGCAACAGGGAAGCTGTGTTCATGTGCCAGTGTTTAAACTTAACTTTGGTTCCTACTGATGTATCTGTTTACTTAAGTGTTCCTACTGTTTTCTTTGTGGCGGCCATTTCCTGTAACTCGCGTCAGGGTCAGGTGAAATTCGTCTCGGTACTTAACAACGGCGCGAGACTGCTCTTTTCCCGATGATCCGGTTGGGGTTTGTTTGACACTTTTAAATGTGTTGGTGCCGGGATCCCGTTTTCAGTGGGTCCTGGAAGCCCGGAAACCGCGAGAGTCTCCCAGTTTCAGAACATGGGGAGAGTAAAGTTCAAAATGAGAGCAATGGCAGGCGTGCATGTAAAAAACACAGAGAAACGCAGTTTGAAAAGGGGGGCAAAGAGAAATATTCCTCTTTTGATATTTGTATTTATTCTTTGCTCAGACGTGTGCTTGGGTGTAGAGCAGTTTTAGATGCAGGCTGCTACTGAGTAAGTTAACTTTCATTTATTTGTTAATCCAGTTGAAGCAGACTATCTCTGATGGCTACTGTACACCTGGCAGTCATGAAGCGGTTAAGGCCCAAGAAAATTTCTTCTGCATCTTCTCTGCTGCAGCTCTTAGCATTAACTGAGCATTAGTGTGACAAGTATGATTTTCAGGCCTGGTCTTTGAAAGTCAGACTATAGAGTCTGATTCTAGATCTCATTCTATTTTATTAACAGTCATGGGTACAAACCTTGAGATTTACAGTGGTATGTGTGTTCTAGAGCACTAAAGACACCATGGAAGGCAGTCAAAGGTTTAAAAACATCAAGCCTCTGTCATTACTGAAGACCTGAGGACTGAAGAGCAGGGAAAATGTTGACATTTAATGGTGTCACAGACATTACAGAACAGAAGCAGGGGGTTTCACCTCATAGTTGGTCAGTGTATGGATTGTGCTGCTAAGTTGTGTTTACTGAGTCTTTTCCCAGAAGGTCTTGCTCTTAAAAAAACAGGCTGCTCTCCCTCCAAAAATAATAATTCCTCTTGAACACTAGAGGGGGCTCCTTTGAGAAACGCCCCACTCCAGTATAGGCGTAAAGCCCTGTGAATACATTACCTCTCCAGCGAAGTCTCGCAATAGGCGTTGGAACTCTGGAACGTTTTTATTAGCCAATTAAAGTCAGAATTGTAAACGACAGGATGTCCCAAATCTGTATGCATTGGCAGTTTTGAAGCGCTTGACTGCCAAGAGACGGCAGCACAAGGTCGTGGCATCTGTTCGCTGTTCTGGGACTCGTGGAGGCCGTGAGAAACACTGTACCTGAGCTTGGAGTAAGATGTTGCCCTGTTCTGGAGTTTCTCTCTGGCTTAAACTGTTTTATAGAGATGTTCAGTAGTCGGTCAGTATGTCTTTCACACCATAAATCAATAAATGTTTGGTTCAAGTGGACGCTGTGGTCTGTGGCAGATACTTCAGGATTGCACACCGCTGAAGATTTAAAACCTCTCTGTGTTGAATCTGAGGTTTGTTTTTACGATGCCTCAGGGATTGTCAAGCTCTGTTTTCATTTAGAATAGTGTACATTACTATTTGGCTAAATGAAGATTTGGCTAAATAGCTGTTTCATTGCATTCACTTTATAGTAATTGAAAAGAGAATATAACATTTAGAACAAAATTAAAAGATATGAAAATGATTACACTAAAAAAAACCGCAATAACCTGTGAAAATAGATGAGGATAAATGCCAATGTTAATACCGGTGGGCATATGATTATAATGATATAATATAGTAAGAAAATGGTCATGAAAAAATAGTTGTAGACAAGTATTGCTGATCTTAAAAATTCTGCCTATAACTACAGTGAATTTGCGTCTCTGTTCGCAAGCTATGCAGGTTTGTCCCTGGGCTTGACATCATAAGGGAGGGTCGAGATGATGAAACCACCACTCGCATTTTCTGATTATCTGCTCATCCATTGCAGGGGTTGTGTAGGGAGCAGTGATGTGTTTAGCGTCGGGAAAAGTGTTGTAAAGAATTCTGAATGTAGTGGATAGATAGGACGTGTAAATACTAGAAGAACCTAAGAGCGCGGAATCTAAAAATTTGATTTTCAATACGGAGCGAGGCCATTTTTAGACATTTTAACACGAAAGTTCTCACGTGAAACCTTAAAATGACTTAACAGTTTTCTAGAACAACTACTCCAGTGAGCAATCAAAAGGAGCCGTGTTAAACTTTGACAATGCGGGGTTTTTTTTTAGGAAAACAAGCTCTAAAAGGGAGACGAAAAGTACAAATCAAATGCAACTGCCTTCTTTAAGGAGAAAAACACTGTTTTTGTGGTGTTTATTTAAAGGCCTGTATTTTCCTTTAAATTAACTTTTTCCAGATCAATGCGTACACTCATGCAGGCACTCTGAACTTGTCATGAGAAGTTAGTTTTTAATAGCATTATAACAGTAAATGTTATTCAACAGTAGTGTAAGGTGAAAGCTGTCAATCAATTCGACTTGTTTTGCTAACTGGAATAAAAAACGTGTTTAAATAGAAGAAGAAGAATAACATGCCAACCACCTTACAAGCCCGTACTGATATAATACGCTTTATTTAATTCACCTCCTTTCCCCAAAAATGTGCCGGTGGAATGGTCGAGCAACTCGGGAGCACAGCTTGTGACATCCCGCGTCACCGGGCTCGGCTCCGATCGAGCTGCGGTCAGCGCGCTAGGTCTTCAGTCAAATCGGTATTGTATAGCGTAATTCGCCGCTGTTTCGGTCACATACTTTTTTTTTTTTGCCCTTGCAAGTGTTTATATTAACGAAAATAACGACCGCTGACTGACCTTCTCAACGGGCATTAGCGGGACGTGGGCAGGGAACAGCGCCAGGTTGATAAGAGGAGAGGAGTAAAATCGTGTGGTTTATACATTTTTGTTAAACAAAACTGGCAGTTCATCCGCATGGCTCACTCCTAGCAAAACGTCGGGAGGACTTAATATGCCAGTTTAACAGTGAGAAAGAGATCTGACTGGTTGCAAATGACAACGAGATTAAAGTGTCCAGCATGACCTATTCAACATGACTGTAGCTTTTGTTTCATGTCATGTTAACTGTTGTAATTCAATGCCGCCCAGGGATAAGCAACTTCAGCACACACACACAATGCTATTAAAATGACTTCCATGTTAATTTGTCCTACTTTGGATGCAGGGGGGAGAAATTTATCCTGCCTCAGGCTTCACAGCTGCTTTCGGGTCTCCTTGTTTTCAACTGTTCTTTCACAGCCGCCTCGGACTCAATGTCCTGTTTCTGACCCAGCGAGGCGAATCTTTCCGCACAGCGACCCACAGCCACTTGTTGATGTTCCCGGGCGAGACCTGCTCACATAGCCTGGCCCACCTACGTGTTTTTCTGACCGCGACCTGTCCTCGTTCAAGCACCTCGGCGATTTACTGTAAACGTGTCGCATTTACAGTACAAATACAGATTTCTGTTTTTGCTGAATTCAAGTATTCGCATGTCAATTACTCAGCTGCAGGCAGAATTAGGATATAACGAATATTTTATCCGTCACATCCCAAAGTGGGTAAGGTTACCCCCACGGAGCGCACGGGAGACATTCCGGCAGTGCTGTGCAGCTATTTGGGAAGGTTTTGAAACTCGCCGCTGTTCCCGCATGCATAGCAACACAGATACAGAATCTGATCTGAACCACCCTCAATCCGTCAATCATTTACTTGCTGGAAAACGGAACTACACCAACAGGTAAAGAAGCACCTGACCTTTGTCAAGCACTCGGGTGTTAATGATGCAGAACAACATACTGTTACCTGCACCGTGACTGAAAGGGCACAGCGACTTCAGACGGGGTGCTGCAACAACTCGTCTTTGTAGCGACAGACAGGTAATTAACAAACAAGATCTTAGTCAACCTCAGAGCAAACTTAAACCCACTCAGACGCCGTCTGCCTTTCGTTTTCCGTTCTGTCAGACAATATCCACTACGAGGTGCGAAAATTAAAACGCTTAACTTTTTAATGCAATTTCGAAAATCTTTCCTCAGCTCTGTAACGCGCAAACCCCGGCTTCTTGTTCTCTTCAGTCTGCTTGTTCTCCACTTAGCTGTCTCGTCGAGAAAGGCGCAGAGGAAGCTGTCGGAAATTGAGAAGATTTCGTTCGTTATCTCTGCGAGATAGAACGAAGAAGAAAAAAGTTGATTACGGAGTAAAGGCGCGTACAGTTTAGGTTGCACTGGCGTGAACATTGAGTACTTTCTAGTTCTAAATCGTAGTGGTAACCTTGCCAGAAGCTGTTTGTGGTTTGCGTAGGTTAATTAAATGACAGGCGTATGAGTGGAGTAGGAACCAGACTATAACACTGAGGTGTCTTTCTGTACCTAAAGGACAGTGTGATGCAAATGTTCTCAGGCACTTGAATTTTAAGATGTTTTTTCAAAGATACCGTTCTCAAAAACAGCCCTAGTTTGTGATAAAGTGTAGTTATAATTAAGGACTAAGTAAAGGTTTATTCCCTGCTGAAAAGAGAAGGCAAACACAACTTTTCGGCTGTGGAGCCTTCTTCGGGTTGACACCCGAAACCCGAAGAAGTCTCCGTGTTTCTTTTCTTCTCTTTTCAGCATGGAATAAACCTTTACTTGTGCCTTTGCAGCCTACGGATGCTGACGCAGCTCCCTACTTGGACTAGTTATGAATAATTTTGCTGTTGGTTATAACATCTGAATTTGAACATCTGAAACACAGTAGACTGGGTCAGTCCAGGTTTGCAAGGTTTCGTTGTTCCCGGGGAACAACCTGGACAGTTAAGTGAGGACTTCTGGTGAAGAACCACCGGTACAAATTGCAGTACTTCCTCTCGGGCGATGGATGAAAAGCCACCTTCAGTGCCTTCGTCAGTTTTCCCTATAGTGCCTTTAGACGATGTACAGTATGTCTACTGGGCAAATGCGTATTACTGAGGATGTTGTAAAAGCAGCCAACACAGATGGCATCGTAATACATACAGCAAGACCAGGGTGGGGATCGAAACAGTTACAATTCCGTAACGTCTAATCGCGATTTATACTCCTAATGGAGACCGAGTTGTACAAATGCTGACACTAGCTGTGTCGTGATTAAATGCGGTGATCGTAAAGGTCTGCATGGTTATTGAGAACGTGTAAACTGAGGCCGACAATCGCTGACGCAGCAGCCACTGTTCGGATGAATAATGTTACATAAACAGCCTAGCGCCAGATCTGTAAAACAGAGAAGTGTGAACAGGAGAGGAATGTGTACAGAGTGCCAAGGCAGCAGTAAATCCCGATTTTTCCACACAGATAAGGATTCTCTTCTTTCTCAGGGCAAGACTTAACACATGTACTTTTCCGTGAATGAAGGAGGAGGGGAGCGCGCTTTCTACAGCGAGGTCAATCGGACCGGCTGGGCTCACGCAGTGGTGTCTGCAGCCAGTTTTTAGCTTACTGTGCAACCAAACACTGCGGTGGCACAGAATATTCACATCAATTCAATGTATTTTTATATGGCGCCTTTCACAACAAGGTTGTCCCTTTTCTTAACAAAGCAAGTGACCACACATGTTGTGAATACAGAACAGAAAAGACCAGAAGACAATGGAGGAGAGGAACCAAAAACGTCTTAGTAAGGAGAAAAACAACCTCTAGGGGTCCAAGGTCAACTGGCTGCCCAACCCCTTTGGGCATGCTAACATTATACAATTAGAAAAAGGAATAAATGAATAAAGGCATGAATCCATCATGTCTTCTGTATGTCAGTACTCCATGCAGATCTCTGTAGACCTGCAAACTCCTCCTAAACAAAAGCTATATCCACAATGTCCCTCTTGGATCCATGGCAGTGATGCAGCGCCCAGCCCGGGTGCCATCCGGACATGTGGGGAGGAGAATAGGATAGTTTGGGCAGAACAGATGTATCTACCTGATGGGCCAACATAGAGACACACAATGGCACATACAGCAGCACCACCAGCCATTGTTGCAGCAGGCTGTGATGTAAGGTGTGAGGAGGCTAGGCTGAAGTAATAGGTCTTCAGTCTGGATTTGAATACTAAGAAATCCGTAAGACCAAGTGCAACCGTAGCAGGGCTCTTCAGCAGAAATGCATCTCGACTAGAAGATGAACTGCCTGAATGTGGTCAGCTGAGTTCGAGGAAGAAAAAGGACATTCGCTCATGAGCGCAAAAGGCAAACGCATTCTCTCCAATTGAGATCAGAGGGCCAACTGCTTTGCACGGCACTGCCACTGAGATATGTCTTCCTCTCAGCCACTCCTGAGCAGAAACCACCAGGCAGGGCTGTGCCAGTAACTGGAGAGCTCCTCACTGCTCTGCTTCCTGTGAGAAAGCAAACAGTTCTGGCTGCCTGAAAGATTGCACAATGTAGGGAACTGCTGTTATCGCATTTGTCTTTCTTTGGGACACTTTTTTATTTTTCCAGAAATCTCTCTGCCACATAACCATTGCCATCTCAGCAATAAAACTGAACAACGCTGGAGGGGGGTCACTCTGTCCCAACGCGGTGGCAGTTGTGAAAAACCAAAGGCCGTGAGAGGAGGGCATTTCTACCATCTTATCAATTAATTATTAAAAGCGAATTCATCCAAGGATCTGAACCAGCCACTTTGCGAATGATAAAAATGGCTGGAAAACTTCCTCTGTCACTCTGAACAGAGCTGGGGTTTTTTTCCATTCCCTGTCCTAAACGCAGGATCTCTTCTCTCCCACTGGTGCTCCTGAGCCCGTGTTGTTCCTGATGTGGTCCATTGGAGCAGCTCTTTGCTCAGTGCGAAACCCGGGAGAGGGCTGAAAGTCACTCAGTGCTTTGATAATAAGCAAGAGCAAAGCTTTTAGAGAGAATGACGGGGTACCAAAAGGAAGTTATGAGTTAAGATAAGATCACTTTATTGGCCATATACAATTTCTTGCATTAGGAATTCATCTTTTTGCATACCCCAGCTTGCTCTCCATGAGATACACAGACAGGGAGAGCAAAGCTTGGGGTCAGAGCGCAGGGTCAGCCTTTTATACAGCACCCCTGTGAGCAGCTGGGGTGAAGGGCCTTGCTCAGGGGCCCAACGGAGTAGGATTCCTCTGCCGGCCTGGGGATTTGAACCGGCAACCTTCCAGCCACAGGCGCAGAGCCAAAGTGCCACCACTCAGCCCGTCAAATCAGAGTTCCTTCCTGCCAGCAACTAGGCTATGTATTTCCGATGATTTAAAAAAATATATAAAACTCTTCAAAACAGAAATGATTTTGACATCCAACAATCTTGAGAAATTGCAAGATTGAAAAGACAAGGAAAAAAACCTGTTGAAGCAGGGGAAGACAAAAAAGCTTTTAAAGCGTTCCGACTGATCATTTTCTGGTTCCTCACTCCCTCTCCCTTTATTCTGCTAAATGTTACCATTGCACTATGATTATGCCCCTGTGTATTACATAAAAAGGAGAGCCTGAAAAGGGCACTTTTGGCAAGGTGCTTTTAAGATCTCTACAGATAGGAGAACATCCAACACTCTTTGCATGCCTAGTTGACCAGGTCTTCATTATCTGCATGTTTTATCAGGGTAGAGAGCTTGAAGGCGTATTGAAACACGGAACAGAGAGAACCAGGGAGTCGTGCCAGGGATGAATCTGGCTGGAGGCTCCACCCTGAGCACTGAGAATGTGTGGAAGTGTGTTTGTGTCGGGTTACGAACCCCAGCACTTTGCTTCAACAACAGAAGTTTTTATTTAAAAACATAAGAAAGTGGGTGAGAAGAGGCCACGCTACCCATTTACCTGTTTGGTTGCTGGTCGCTAATGTAGTTCTCATCTAATCATTTCTTGAAAGATGTCAGGGTATCAACTTAAACAATAGGGCTGCGGACCTTGTTCCACACTCCCACAACCCTGAGCGAAAAGGTCTTAAATGCACCTTGCCAAAATTGCCCTTTTGAGATTCCCCTCATTATATAACACACAGCACCACAGTGTAAAGAAGAGGAAGCGAGGAAGCAGACAATAAAGCAGTCAGGACGCTTTAAAAGTTTTTTTTTGTCTTCCCCTGCTTCAACAGTTATTTTCCCTTGTCTTTTCAATCTTGCATTTCTCAAGATATGTTGGATTTCAAAATGAAATCAAACGCAGTTGTAACCGTGACTATGTGATAAATTAAGAAGAGAGAAAAAAAAACTTTGAAAGGCGACCTGTGAGTTGTCGCCCAAAGCGACCGGGATCGGGTTACACCGGGCGGCTCCCGGCGGTGGGAGGTGATGTCGTGATAACACGGACTCCCGTTTCATCAAACCTGTTTTTCTGTTAGGGATGTAGACCGCTCAGGTGAGTGCTGCCGTTCTCTGCTATCCGGGCATTCACGGGCAGTCGTCCTTCTTCAAGGCCCTCTTTTGGAGCGTCTATGGTTTTAAATCCATTCAATGCGTTTTCCAAAATTGTATTATATAGACGGATTCTATTTACTTAAATAACCTGCTCTCTGTCCTAACTAAGTTATAGGTTAAAACATTTAAAGTTCATTTAAGCGATGGAGCGTGTCGACAATCTAAAGAAAAATAATTTAACTTGGCCGAAAACGCGTGTTAACATTATTCACATCTGCACCGCCTTTGACGTGGAAAAGAAAATTAAAGGTTCCCTTTTGTGAGACGTGAAGGTGAATCACGACAGATCTCGTTGTTTCCAACCGAAGGAAACGTTACGTCCCCTGCTTTTTGGTTAAAAGGAACATCTCACTCCTAGCCCTTAAACAAACGGCCGGATTATGGTCGTCGAACCAATTAGCAAGTGTGATCGCAAACAAATTAGTAAAATGAGGGCAAATGGCCTTCTCTTTGCAATCTCCTTCAACAGTCCTTATTTCGAAATGCGTTCCTAGCTCAAGTTTAAGGTATCTGATTTGGGGTATACCAATTTAAATTGACGATTAACACATAAACCTGACGAGACGAGGCGTTCAGCTATTTTCCCCTTCTGCTAAGTAACACTACAGCTATGTAAATACTAGATATACATTTTAAACGGAGGTCCTTCCCAGGTGAAACACGTTAATGCAGTTTTCTTCACACGTCAGAACGGAAAGCGGCGCAGTATTGTGCTGTAGTGATTAATTGACCAGGGAGCCTGAAAACCAGTTTGTCACCGTCAACTGGCTTGCTTGTGCTCTTTTCACAACGGTGTACCGTGTTGCTGTAACGTGCAAACTGCTTCTTTTGGGAAAAGTGAAAATCCATCAGAATGGAACTAAACGCGTGCTTCCCTTGCAAACTGAAGGCGCCGGAGACATTTCAAGGTTGGATTAAAAAGCAGACTTCTGATTTAGGTCAATTTATGTCATCGTTTGTTTTTGAACAAGTCTATTGCTTATAGAGTATTTTATTTTTTTTAAAAAGGTACTAGCGCACGTAAACTTGGGATATCTACATAAACGTCTTTAAATCGAAGCCCGAATCCGTTCTAGTTTCTTTAATATTGTTCGCTTTTGCCTTTTCTTTATTTCTGGTTTAAGGAGCATGGTAAAGGGGCTTGTCTCAAAGATTTACTAGAGCAAGTTCTCGATTGTTGGTAGTTTGCTTTCAACATTCTACATTAGTTGTGTTTTAAACAGAATTTGTGATTGGAATCAACCCTGTGCCAATTACGGACTTGAAAAACGTCCCTCATTCAGGTGTGTCCGTTAAAATGTAACGAATTCGACTGAAGTAAAATACAAACCGCTCATTGTGATGAGTGTGACCTGTCATCAAGACCTGCCTGTTAATCTTGCATTTGACTGCCTATTAGGAGCAGCCTTCATAGAAATAAGGGAGCAAACGTGTAACTTCATGCGTGCAGAAATTTGGGGTGTTTTCTCAACAAAAATCGGGGAGCAGAAACAAAAGTGTAAACGAGCCAGAAAATGAGTGGCATTGGAATTAAACTAATAAAAATGGTAAAGTGGTCTTTCCATGCCAGAGATGTGCATGGAGTACTGACATACAGAAGACATGGTGAATGGACTACTACCTTTATTAATTTATTCCTTTTTTAAATTATATTGTGTCAGTATGCCTAAAGGGGTTGGGCAGCCAGTTGACCTTGGAACCCTAGAGTTTTTTTTGTCTCCTTACTAAGGAGTTTGGGGTTCCTCTCCTCTGTCTTTCCATGTCCTCCTGATTCCTAGCTTTATAAAGGAACTAAACCAGGAGTAGGCAATATTCCTACAACAGTGATGCCTTTGTAGATTAGTAACTAATAGCAGAGACAGAAACATAAATGTTTCAAATTGTTTGGAGAGCTGGTCACAAGGTTTCGTTTTCAGTCACTGTTGGGTTGTGTTCTGCTCTTGGAAGTGAGAGTATTGTACTGGGCTCATACAAGACACTTTCTTAAGCATAAAGCAGTTTCCTGCAGGTGTGTCGAGTGCACTGCCTCATCCAGACCTGGACAGTCCTGCTGCTGGAGAACCTGTGTCTAGGTGTTGGACATGCAGCAGAACCTGGAAAACTGGAGGAAGATTAATTGGACTAATTAAGCCAATAATGAGCTGCCTATGTTATTTAGGGCTGTGTTGAAATGAAAACGGAGATATTATAGTGTCCCTCCAAGATCTGCATTGTAGCCCTGCCTAAATCCATTGAATTAACTCTTCTCCAAAATGCAGGTATTCTGCTTTGAATCTGTCCTCTGAGAATTGACCTGTATTTGCTCTAGTATTAAAGAGGTCAGTTAGCTTTATTGAAAAGCACTAGCAGTTGTTTTTGAAACCACATTATGAGTGTTCAATATCTAGGGTGTTAAGGCCTATCTTTATGATTCGGTCCAGACAAATTGACTTTCTTTTACTTCATATCAACAAAACTTGCTGTGCAGTTCAGAGAAACAAAGGGTGTGGTTATTTCTGATGGAGGGGGGAAAAGTGTCTTGCTTATCCTGATAATGTCACATGGCTTTTACTGAACAGCAGTAGCTGGAAGAGGTCTCCAGGTTTGTATTGAGTGGAAACATTATTAAATATTTTATGGCTACAACATGTGACAAGCCCCACTTTTTTTTTCTTGTATTTCCATCACATCTTTATTTGTACTCCAGACCAGAGCCACCATGGCCTCCTTGCGTGTCTTGGACGTGTTTATGAAGAGCAATGTTCTGAAGGAACTACTTTCTTCTTTTCTCAGAAGGATAAACTGTCAGCTATATATTATTTCCCTGGACAGGATACAGTAGTACTGTGCTCTGTGCTTCAGCAGGGAATAAACAGTTATCCACATGTGTGTGGTGATTGGTGGCACATTGGGTAGCATTGCTGCCTTGGGGCCCTGGGTTCAATTCTCAGGGTGCTATCTCTACGTTGGTATGTTCTTCCTCTGTTTATGTCACTTTCCTCTGGGTTCTCTGGTTTCCTCCCTCAGTCCAGAGACGTACTGGTAGATTAACTTTCTTCAGGGAAAACTATCCCCAGTGTGTGTGCATGCCTGTCTACAGTGGACTGGGCGTATCCTGCCTTATGTTTTTAGCTTGCTGGGATAGGCTCCAGCTCCCCCTTGTGACCCTGAGTTGGTTAGAAAATGGGTGTATGGTAATGAAATTGATAGTATCGGAGGGATTTTATATCTTAATTTTAAAAACCAATTTTTCTGAAGTCATGGACGAAAGAACCTTCCAGGCTTCCCCCACATTCAGCGGCCTGTTTCTGGCTGATCCCCGCTCCGTATGAAGATGTACAGAACTGCCCCAGTGACTGCGCCCTGCCCGAAGCCACCTCATCACTCCACCCACCTTTGACCATGTCAAAGGCCTGCCCTAAATGCCACAAAGGCTGACCCTGAATTTCCTCAGAGCCCAGCACAAGAGGGCGCTGCTGAGAACAAAGTTAAGCTGACGTCTGGATTGAGCGTGGCCGAGAATTTGTACAAGATCTGAGTCCTGGGAAAAGGGTCTTTGGTGGCGGTTGGGGGAGCGTTCAATAAGAAATGCCACACCTTAAAAAATGCAGATATCTTCACAGTTGTAAAAGTTTCACTCCAAGTTTATATTATTTTGTTAAAATGAGGACTGAGATTCCGCCTGGTGATTGTGCTATTGGAGCAGTTTAATGCCATCCCAGAGATCCTTCTGTAGGTGAGACAGGAGGGATGTGTTAACCCTGAAAGAGAAGAGAAGAGGAGAGGAGAGCTGGTGGTTCTGTGATCACGCAAGATAGGCGTCCTCGACTGAGCACAGATTGATTTTGTGTGGGGCAAAAGAGAGTCTATTGTCTTTTCATATTGTAAGTGCCTTGGCATAAACTAATGATGGATTGGGGTGGAATGTATACTACATTCAGGGAGGGAAAAGGCTGTCCTACGTTTTATATCTTCTTTGGAGCTTTTTGTAGAAATCCATTTTTTTTTTTCACGTGGCCTAACTGCTGTTTTGCAGAGTTTCTAAGCAAAAGAAGAGGTACATTTCAAGAGTTCATCCAGAAAACGAAAGAGACGCTATGCAAATAGTAAGTCGTGTTCTCTTTTCTTGTTCCAAACACTGCCATGCAAATCTCAAGTCACACGAGCCGAGGGATAAGGTGCAGAGCTGTGACTTTCCCTGGCGCGGAGTGTCTTCAAGTGGGGAATTTTGAGAACTGGGTCAGGATGAGACAAACCTCAAAGCAGACACGAGGTACAAACAAAGTGCCATTTTATTTTCAGCGCAGGAGCAGAAAATCCAACAAAACCTAACTCTTCAAGCCCCTGACTGCTTTCTTTAGTCCCTAACTAACAAACTGGGCAGCTAAGCTCCTTACTAGTTTTCCATAAGTTTCTCTACAGGCCTCTTCCAGCTCTTTCCAAACTTGCAGTTCCGCCGGAGGATTTCCCACAGCATTCTGGGGAATGTTGTCCAGACAAGAATCTCCATTTTGTCAGGAGTCACTACCCTCCCATAATCTGTCATTGTGTGTCTATCTACAATTCCAAGAGTGTAGAGAATGCTTGGTTTATCTACTGACCAAATTACTATTATTTACATTATTTCCTTAGTTAACTTTTAGATGACCCTTAGTGCTAAACGGAAATGGATAATTTTCTACTAGTCAGGGCTGTTAGAATTAAATTACTGTTCCCCTTTCTGTGTCTAATGTCTGAGCACTGTGATGCCAGCTTGTTTAAAGGGAATGGTTTTCCTGGTTCTTACAGGTGTTTTTATTTTGAGCATTCAGCTTGTTTTACCTTAAGTTTTGTACCTTAACACTGGTTACTGATTTAACTACTTGACCTTCAGAGAGACCCCAAGCCAGTTTCCATTTCCACCCTTTGAAAACCAGCACGTCTTGCATCTCGAATTGCAGAAGTCAAACCTGCAACGAAGACGCAAGCAAAGCAGAATGCATGCAGATACTCAGATCAGTTTGATAGCGATGAACTGTTTTCTCTCCTGCTAACACTTATTCTTAATTTCCTTACAGCTCTGAAGCGGTTTCTCTCCTGGAGATGGATCGGACAAAACACACAGCTAACAACAACCACGTAGGTCTTCGTTGTCCTTCTAACAGCTTCATAGGTTTGACCTTTCAAGCAGTGAGATGTATATCTGGCCACCCGCAGCTCTGCCTACTTAAGACATACAAATGTAGATTGGATTGTCTCAGAGTAGCATGACCAGCAAATCACAATCTCCTGTCCAGTCTGTGAGGTTATGAGTCTGTGTGAGAGTGAGTGTAAATGGCATTTGTTTCATTTACAACCGAAATATTGAACATCAAAATCTCAAGCTTAAACAACCTTAAAGCTAACACAGACTATCCCTTCTCTATAGAAATCAAATAAGCCAAATAGAAAAGCACTTTCAGAGAGGTTCCCTTGCAGTTCCTCATCTCTCTCTGCACGGGCACTGGAGATTTGCATGATCAATTGCCAAGAAACCTTTTTAACGAGTGCACTACTGTTAAAAAATCTTTACTATTTTCTCAGCACTGGAGTCGGAATAAGCGACCTGCCCCTCTTTTGAAAAAGAAGAAACTCCAAACTTGCCAAAAGTGGAAACCTTTAAACCCATTTTAGAGTCTCTTAAAGTAGCACACTGAAGGATAGGTGTGGCACTTCACACAGTTTTCTAGCTAGGAAGAAAACTGAAGAAAATTGAGGATGGGAGCATTTTCTGATAAATTGATATGAGTACTTTTGACCCAGTGTTTTAAGCAGCATTACTAACACTTTATCCACTAGAGCAATACTAGATCTACTGGCGCTTGCCTGCCTTGTCACAATCTCAAGTGATCTCTGGGATTTGTAAGTATGGAAGTAAGTTTTTGTGCCAGCAACTTGTAGCTCCAGCCTGAATGCAGTGACTCTTTCCTCAAGCCCCTGGCTCACGCAGGTGATGTTAGGCCAAGTGATTTTGACCAAATTATCAGCCACCTGTACCCATGACAGCAGTTAGTGGTGACGATAACTGATTATTTTGCATAGCATCTTTCATGTTGCATCTCAAGGAGCTGAAAGGTGATGTTCTCTGGTTCCAGCAACATGACATTCTGCAGACCCCTTCAGTGATTACTGTTGTTACTAATTGATTTGCCCGAGCAGACATTTGTGCTCATTTCTATAGCTGGATATCTTACCGGAGTAATTAGTGTGAAGCAACTTGCTTGAGGGTACAACACCTGGGATTGTGTTGTGCACAACGCACTTTGTCTCACCTGGGATTAGAACCCACAACCGGCCCTGTTACCGGAGTCCAGCACCACACTGCTGCCCATATGACTGTTTCCAAGATTTTGAAATTGCCCAAAAGTAAGATTCTGGATATGGTAAAATTTTGAGTTCACCTCAGTGGCTGGAGCTCTGTGTGAAGAGTCTTTTGTTAAAGACCCCCCCGATGTGAAACTGAAGTCTGTTCAGGACGTCCTGTGCAGTGATTGTTTAATACGGCTCCCTCTCTCCTCTAGCTTCGGGTATCCTCTTCCACTGATGTCAATCTGGGACCGTCTGCCAATCCACAGTGAGTCAATGTTCCCCTCTAATTTTTAATGGCTTATGTGCGCAAAAAAATTCAAGTTGTGCAATTTCACTTGTGCGCACTAAACTACGTGTATGTAAAATTGTAAACCTGAAATTATTTTTTGTTAATATAGTCATTCACATAGAAGCATAGAGATTTAAAAGACCGGGAGAGCTATTCAGGGAGCCCAGTCATAGAGACTGAGTGTCCAGCGAGCATGAGCAGGGAGGTAAGAGACTAGGAGAGCAGAGATATCGATGATCAAGTAGCAATATTAATGCACACAGCCAAGTTGAGCCTCTGGAAGGCAGTCCCATGTGGCCAATTTAGCATTTTTCAATTGACGACCGTGTTTGGTTTATCATCATTTTTTGGGGGGGAATTTAATTTTTTGTGCGCAGTTCAATTTCCTATGTGCGCTGATTTCATAACCTGTGTGCGCAGGCACATGCGCACAACTTAGAGGGAACATTGCAGTGACTGTTGTGTATTGAGCATCTGCTGTACATCCCACATAGTTATGTCATGAAGTCATTTTTGAGTAGTCGCTACCAGGTTTGGTAACTTCCCATGTGTGAGAGTTATTTTTCAGTTATTCTAACATGGCTCTTCTCTAGTTAAAGTGTTTTTTTTTTAAACAGTCCCCTTGAGAAACCTAGAGCTCTATGAAATTGCTAGCCCTGTGTCATTGCGATCATCAGGGGAACTGATGAGAGTGTAGCTGGATTAGTAAGGAGGAGTGTGCTCGGCAGTGATTTTAAGAGCTCTTTTACAAGACGAGCTTGTGAAGCATCATACAAAGAGCAAACCCATTTTTATCCGTAATCGCACAGACATTTTCCTGCTTGATGATCCATTTGCAAACCTCCTGGTGGTTGCATGTCCACCTGTGAAGTGCATTCTGGGGCAGAATGAACTGCTCTTTCACTGCTGTCCACAAACGCGTTTCCCAAGAAACAGCCCTAAGAAAACTGTAAATAGAAAATATTCCACCTTTCCATTTGTTTCTACAAAGTTGTATACAACTTTTTTTTCCCTCTCACTCTAAATAGGGTGATGTAGGAAACGTGCAGCTTATGATACTCTGAGTAGAAGCAGAGCAAATAGTTGTGCCAGGAGAATTTAGTCTGTACTGCAAGGAGAAGGACAGTCATTAGTCTGTGTTTGGGTCTTTGGTTTCTGTGATGCACCATTGTGAAACCACACAAACACAAAGGAACAACCACAGAGAACATCATAATATTATTAATGTCAATAGTTACACTGAAAGATGCTGGTTAGGGCGAAATGCTTGTTTTCAAAATCAAGTTGGCCTTAGTACACAAAACTGCTTTACTTGTGCTTTTCTTGAAAGTATATCACAAATTCAGCTCTTGGATGGAAGTCAGTAAGTTGGCAGACTCTTTGTTTTGGGAGTGTTGCAAGAATCCCCTTGATCAGTGTTGCACACAGCAGCACACAGTGGCACATGCCATTTTCTAAAATCTAAAATCAATCTATTGCAATATTAACCACACTCGGCATAGCCATTGGCCTGCAGAATCCTTGAGCTCTTTAGGAAAAAAAAAAAGTGAGCTGGATATTTTTTATTTAGATGGAAAAACAATAGTTCATACCATAAATGAGATTCATCTAGACATTGGAGGGAAAAAAAGTCATTCACCTAAAGATGGAAAGAATTGTATATTACAGCAATCCCAAATGCATCTCAAAATACCAAGTATGCTGTTCAGGGATAATCAAACTCATCCCCTTGCACACTTCTGTTGAAATGAGGCCCATGATTTTGGGAATCTCGCAATTCTGGGACAGTTCTTACGCACTGCCTCACAGAAATCAGTTTAATCCCCTATTGCTGCCTTTCCATCTCTTCAGAGCCTTAAAACCTACAGTAGCTCAAAGCGAAGTTATTTGTATCCAGCACAGTGAGATGCAGACCTCTTTGCATCTAACTCAGAAGGATTTCAGGATTAGATTGTATATAATACTTCTTGTTCCTTGGTTGTTTCCTTAGAGCCAGACCTACAGACTTTGATTTCCTAACTGTGATTGGGAAAGGAACTTTTGGGAAGGTATGGTGACCTCTTGCATTACAAGAATATATGATATGCCTGATATACCTTGCACACGATATACCTTGCAACTCACAACTGGCAGCCCACTGAATTTCAGCAGGGGTGAGCCTGGAGACCTCCTGAATAAGCTTAGGTTGCTGCTGGAAGAGGTGTTAGTGGGACCTGTAGGGGGCGCTCATCCTGCGGTCTGTGTGGATCTTAATGCCCCAGTATAGTGACAGGGACACTATACTGTAAAAAGGTGCTGTCCTTCGGATGAGACGTAAAACTGAGGTCCTGACTCTCTGTGGAATTAAAAATCCCAGGGTGCTTCTCGAAAAGA